GCGCCTCATGCAGGTCACCAAACTCTCCAAGCGAGCGATAAAGAAGTGGTTCAGCGACACGCGCTACAACCAGAGGAACTCCAAGGACCACCACAGCCTGCTGCTGACGCAGGCCACGCCTGGCAGAGCCGCGGCCGGCGGCGGCCGAGGAGGAAGGAGCAGCGGCGGTGGCATCAGCATCAACGATAGCAACAACAGCGACAACACCTCCACCATCGTCATCGACTCCTTTGTCCTGCAGGTGAAGTCCGGTAAGGCTTTTCTGAAGGAGTACTACCTCAAGCACCGAGCCCTGAGCGAGAAGGACCTGGACGAGCTGGTGGCAAAGTCCAGCATGAGCTACGAGCAGGTCAGAGACTGGTTCTCCGAGACCGCCAGGAGGGCGGAGGAGGGCACAGAGCTTTTCAGCGATGAGGAGGCGGAGGAAGAGGATGAGGAAGAGGAGGAGGAGGCGACGGCGGAGCACGCAAACAGCGAGGGAGAGATGGAGGTGAAAGAACAAGGAGAGGAGGCATCGGACGACGACTGCGTGGAGGAAGACGAGAAGGACGCAGAAGAGGAGGAGGAGGATGAAGAGATCCAGGAGGGATCTGAAGGTTTCAGCCAATCACAGCCTCAGGCAGAAGAGCAGACGTGAGCAGACAGGTGAGCAATGTTTTCAGCTTTATTCCTTTTTTATTTCCAGAGATTCAGCAGAAACTAAAACCCGGAAAATTACCGCACAGTTTGCAGACGCGTGAGTCGACGAGCAGGTAAAAGCAGTTTCTGTTTCATGAAACCTTTTGTCCTCAGTCGACCCAACTACAGATAAGAAACAGATAAGAACCACAGCCTGTCAGCACAGGAGGAGCTGCCTGATATTACAGCTCCTGACTGGTTGAATCTGCTCTCTGCAGGGACATGTGCTGCAGTTCTGCTTCTACTAGCTTTGCCTCCTGACTTCAAATAGACTGAACTTTATTCATATAATAGTCGTTAACAGGAGACAGACTACATGGTCTTTAACACTGCAGCTGTGCCACAGATTTGATGTTTGCTCCACTTTGCAGTGGTTGTTCAGGAGATTTCCATGTTTCTGTTTGATTTCTGAGCTTTGAACTGAATCCAGTGCAGTCAGTGTGTACAGCGCCGACCCTCCTGTGGGTCCCTGTAGTCAGTGCACAGTCAGTGTGTACAGCG